TCCTCGTCCTCATCATCATCAGCAGCATCAGCATCGTCATCGACATCATCATCAGCAGCATCAGCATCATCATGATTCCTCACCATCCATCCTTATCCTCATCCTCATCCTCCTCATCATCATCCTCATCCTCCATATCATCATCATCATCATCAGCAGCATCATCATCAACATCATCATCATCAGTAAGGTATGATCATCATCAGCATCATCATCAGCAGCATCATCATCAGCATCAGCATCATCATCATCACCACCATCATCACCATTCATCATCATCAGCATCATCATCACCATCATCACTCATCATCGTAATCATCATCAACATCACCCTCATCCTCAGCATCATCATCATCATCCTCATCATCATCATCCTCATCATCATCATCATCATCACCACAACCACCACCACCATCATCATCATCATCACCATCATCATCAGCATCATCATCATGGTCGTCGTCATCATCAGCAGCATCATCATCATCATCAGCAGCAGCATCAGCATCATCATCATCCTCAGAAGCAGCAGCAGCATCAGCATTATCATTATCCTCATCATCGTCCTCATCCTCATCCTCATCATCATCCGCAGCATCATCGCCATCGTCATCGTCATCATCATCAGCAGCAGCCTGAGCATCATCATCATTCATCATCATCCAGCATCATCCTCATCAGCATCCTCATCCTCATCATCATCCTCCTCATCATCATCATCATCCACATCATCATCAGCATCATCATCATCACATCGTCATCATCAGCATCATCATCATCAGCAGCATCATCATCCTCATCATCATCAGCACCATCATCAACCATCACCATTGATCATCATCAGCATCATCATCATCATCAGCAAGTATCATCACCATTCATCATCATCCTCATCATCATCAACAGTACCCTCATCCTCATCAGCATCAGCATCATCATTATCCTCATCATCATCAGCATCATCAGCATCATCATGATCATCACCACCGAAACCATCATCATCATCATCAGCATCATCAGCATCACCATCATCATCATCATCGGCAACAGCATCAGCACCATCAGCATCAGAAGCAGCAGCAGCATCAGCATCATGATCAACCTCATCATCATCCTCATCCTCATCATCATCAGCAGCAGCATCGCCATCGTCGTCGTCATCATCATCATCATCATCAGCAGCAGAATCAGCATCATCATCATCATCATCATCATCATCATCATCATCATCATCATCATCATTCATCATCATCCGCATCATCATCCTCATCCTCCTCCTCATCATCATCAGCATCATCATCAGCAGCAGTATCATCACCACCATCACCCTCATCAGCAGCAGCATCAGCAAACATCATCATCCTCCTCAGCATCAGCATCATCATCCATCACCATCACCATTCATCATCATCATCATCATCATCATCATCTTCATCATCATCATCAACAGCATCATCATCAACTGCATCATCATCATCATCAGCCACGCACATATTAATTTGTCTTCCTGCGAGGTCACCACCACCATCATCATCACCAGTCATCATCGTCATCAGCATCATCATCGTCAACATCATCCTCATCCTCATCATCATGATCATCATCATCATCCCCATCATCAGCACCACCACCACCACCACCATCATCATCATCATCAGCAGCATCATCATCGTCATCATCATCATCCTCATCATCATCAGCACCATCATCATCAACAGCATCATCATCATCATCATCATGAGCTCCACCACCATCATCATCATCATCATCATCATCATATTCATCATCATCATCATCATCATCATCATCATCATCATCATCATCCGCAGCAGCAACATCAGCATCATCATCAGAAGCAGCAGCAGCAGCATCAACATCCTCACCATCCATCCTTATCCTCATCATCATCCTCATCCTCATCATTATCAGCAGCATCATCATCGTCATCGTCATCATCATCAGCAGCAGCATCAGCATCATCACCATTCATCATCATCCTCATCATCATCCTCATCCTCATCCTCCTCATCATCATCAGCATCATCATCAGCAGCAGCATCATCATCACCACCACCACCATGATCAGCATCATCATCAGCATCAGCATCATCATCATCATCCTTCTCGAGGCCGTCGCGACGGGGCAAGGCTGAAGGGCACGAAGCTGGCAAGGGGAGCGGCGAGATCGCAGGCAACGCCGACCGAGGCATGCCATGGACCAGCCCATGTTCCCCGTTCGACGACCTCCACTCCCCCCTTGACCACACGGGCTCATGGTTCGATGATACTCAGCACGTGTGTCAGCGGGGGGGAGGAGGGGAAGGAGGGGAGGAGGAGAAGGGGAGGAGGGGGAGGAGTGGGGGGGGTGAGGGGGAGGAGGGGGAGGAGGACGAGGAGGAGGAGGAGGAGGGGGAGGAGGAGGAGGAGGAGGATGAGAAGGAGGAGGAGGAGGAGGAGGAGGTTGGAGGTTGGACTTCTAGAGTCTTCTCAGCATGTGTGTTCGCGCCAAGGTGTGCTCGTCGACCGAAGCCCTCGATCATACCACGCGGGCAGCGCAACGGGGGCCGACTCAGGCTGCGCACCATCGGCGGAACCGTCCTCCTCCTCCTCCTCCTCCTCCTCCTCCTCCTCCTCCTCCTCCTCATCCTCCTCCTCCTCCTCATCATCATCATCATCATCATCCTCCTCCCCCTCCCGCCGTAGCCATTTTGGCTCAAGGTTTTGGTGTCTGCGTTGACACAAAGGGATACCGCTAGTCCGCGGCAGTCTTCGGCTTTCTGTGAGCTCTTGTCGGAGCAACCTTTTGTGAGCTCCTGCTGGAGCGGATGGTTCAGTATGGCAAGGGCTTCTCAGTGTGTGCTACGTGCGGGAACTGGCATTGGCACTGGAGGCTCAAGAAGCAGAAGGGCGTTTGCAAGGTCTGCAACACTCTTCAACCTGGCTGGGTGTCGTCTTCGCAGGGGACCTGGTGGGCGCCATGGAGTTCAGGTGACGCAGGGCAGAGTTGGAATTCACGTCCTGCGTCGTCCCCGAACTGCAACCTCGGCGCCCTCATCCAGCAGGCTATCGCGGGCGCAGGGTTGGACAGTGACCCAGAGGCTGCTCGGCTCGCGAAGGAGTTTGCCAGCCTGACCGAGTCCAAGAAAGCTGCGTGCGCCCCTGCGCCGAAGCCCACTCATGCGCTGCTCAAGGAGGCCACCACCGCTTGCTCTCGCAAGCAGGAGGCTTTGGAGAGGGCAGCCAGTCATCTCGAGGCCACCAGGTTGCGCTTCGAGAAGGCGCAGGCCGACTTTGACACGGCCGCCAAGGAGGTCATGGACGCGGAGTTGTACCGCCTGGAGGTGCAAGAGGCTGCTGCTCCCGTCGAGACTAAAGCGAAGATACACTTCCAGCTCGACCCTGAGCTGTTTGAGTGCCTCGACGAGCTTGAGGAGACGGATCGGGCGGCCCTGGAGAACTTCCAGAAGCAGCTGGCGGACGTCACCGCTCAGGCCAAGGAGAAGCAGAAGGAGTTCCAGAGCGTGTTGGACCAGGCTCGCAACGCGCACAAGGAGGCTGCTGCGAAGCGCCGCAAGCGCGACGCTTCGGGCGCTGCCGTGCCGGGCGGCGAGGAGGCCGCGGAGCAGGCGCCTGCCCTCGGCGACGCCGCCGGCTGCCCTGGGAGCGCGGCGGGCCCGAGCAAGGCCGAGGTTGTGCTCCCGCCTGAGCAGCAGGCTGCCTTCCTCGAGCGCATCAAGGGCGACGCCAGCAAGCACGCCAAGGACAAGGCCACGGCCGCAGTCAAGGACGCTGCTGCAGGCAAGGGCAAGGCTGTGTCGGGCAAGGGCGCTGCTGTTCCTGCTCCTGGGCAGCCTGTTTAGCCTCGTCACCGATGCCCACTGCTGCAAGGGCGAAGTTGCAGCATCCCACGTACCTGTACCAGATGGTTCCGAGGTTTCTACCTTTGACATTTTCTTCGGCAACATCACGGAGTGGGGCCCGCAGGCGGCTCGCTTCCTCGCCCAGGAGCAGGAGCGCGCGATTTCGTCGCCTTCATGGAGACCCACAAGAGCGAGAAGGACATGGAGGATATCTGCCACGCTGTCGACAAGGACGGCTGGAGATTGTCTTACACGGCTGCTCGAGCTTCGGGCAGATCTGCGTCGGGGTTGTCAGGCGGGGAGTGGATACTCGCCAAGAAGCATATGGCCACGACTAGCTTTGACAGGATTCGTCGTGCTGCTCGAGATGCTGGTCGCAAAGACCCGCGCAAGGGGTTTGTGCCAACGGCGATCCACACGCAGAGCGGCAATTTGGTTTTGATTTCTGCCTATTTGCAGCCAGGGCTGGGCGTGAAGGGCTGGAACAACGAAGTACTGGTGGCGCTGGGATCTTTCACGCGGTCCTTGGCGGACCCCTGGCTCGTGATGGCAGACTGGCACATTGAACCTACTGAGTTGTGTGCGACTGGCTGGCCAGATGCTCGGAGCTACTGTGGCCACGCCTGCTTGCCGCACAACATGTGACACAGGGCAAGGCAGCATGTACGACTACGGCTTGGCCAGCATTGGCTGCCCGCCACTTGCGTTGAAGCCAGAGATTCGAGCACCTTGGAAGACGCATTGCGGCGTTGTTATTACCGTCGAGGCTGCTCGCACGCAACGTTGGTATAGGCATCTGGCTGTTCCTCGAGCGCTCCCGCTGAGAGAGCGCCCTCGTGTTCGGGCTGACCCGAACAGCAAGCGCCCTCGGAAGCGCGAGCAGCAGAGGCAGCGTCGTCGTTTGGAAGCTTTGCCAGCTGAGTTACATGAAGCCTTCGATGATCTCGTTCCCGCTGAAGAGGCGCCGCAGCCAACGGCGTCCTTTACTATTCCCTCGGAGACGGGGCGCGGGGCACAGTTGCAGATTTACTGGGAAGGCACTCCTCGCTTGTTTGCCTCTACGCCCGAAGGTGCGCGGGGTAAGGTTGCAGCGCATGATCGGCGCCGACACTTTGTCTTCGAGTGGCAGGATGAAGGCAGGCAACACTTGGACGGGCTATACGGCACTTGGATCTCGACTCTGGAGAGGCCCACGTTGTTGCATGAAGAGATCGACCCCGAGATGTGGAACCAGCGCTCAGGTCGCGCGCGCGGCCCTGGTGTGCATTGGTCCAAGTTGTCTTCCTCCCCAGGCCGCGCGCATATGAAGAACGCGCAGGCTGAATGGTGGGGAGTTGTCAGCACCTTGGTCGCACGTTACTCTGCACTTCGAGCAAACGGATCTGACCCGAAGCAGGCCGAGGATTGCGCCTCGGGTGTCCGCGGCAAGGCCTTGGCCCTGGAAGTGCAGCAGCACGCCGAGTTCTTTGGTCGCAAAGCTGCGCCAGAGGTTGTTGACCAGTGGAAGGATATGGCAGTCGACATGCACAACGTCTCTGATCAGCTGCTGCCCTCGTTCCTCGAGAGGACCAGGCACTGGGCGGACTTGTCAGCCCCCAGGGCGACGCTGGCTCCGAGGTCAGCGTTCATGAAGTGGGCGCAGGAGATGTGGAGCACCAAGCCTGGCGCAGTTCACCGTCATGTTAAGCAACCTCAGGCACTGGAGTGGGAAGCTCTTGATTCTGCGGGCAATATGACTACGGATAATCACACGTTGCTGCAGACTTCGGCTACTGAATGGAATGCGATGTGGCGGGATCCTGTTGACAGTCCTGCCGATACTTAAGTATATGATGGGAAGGTGTTTGCAAGCTGCCAGGGATGATCCATTCCCCCCGATATGCTTGCAGGATGACGCCGACTTGCCGGTGCTCCCTGCTAAGAAAGCGAAGGGGGTCGATGTTCTTAGTCCTATTGACGTGCAACGGCAGCCAGTGGAGGCCAGACAGCAACTTGCTGATATCTTGAACGCTATTGAGTGGTGTGGCGCATGGCCGAGTTCCTTGCCCACTGTACTGGGCGCGGCGATCCCCAAGGAGGCGGGTGGTAACCGCGTGCTAGGCTTGGTGCCGACCCCTCACAAGATCTGGTCTAAGATTCGCACCAGAGCATCGGGCAAGTGGTCGGCTGAACAGACTGCCTTCTGGGACACGGCTATCGCGGGATCCTCGGATTTGAGGGCGGCACTCATTAGGGCTGTCATTGATGAAGGAGCGCAGGCACTGTCCTTTGAGCACGCTTCCCTGTTCTTAGACCTGACTAAGTTCTACGATTCGATATCCTTTGTGCTTTTGATGCAGGCTGGTCTGAGGATTGGATTTCCTGCTATCAGATTGTTGCTTGAAGTTGGTATGTATGCTTCCCCTCGTTTGCTGAAGAAGGGACAGATGATTTCGGAGGAGCTTGACATCACTCGCCCCATTGTGGCTGGTTCTGGGCATGGCGTTCCCGTTGCCAAAGTGATGCTTCACCAGCTGCTGGACGAGACACACCGTGCTTGTCCCCCTGTTGGCCTCTGGTCTTACATCGACGATCTGGCTGGCAGGAGCGAAGTCTCCAAACGCAGCGTTATCGAGCACATGGATGATGTTGCGGGTGTTATGGCGTGTGGATTGAAGACGCTGGGGCTCAAGATTTCCGATAAGACTAAGCTGGCGGCCAGTTCGGATGAGATTGGTTATGAGCTTCAGCGACGCCTTCGCACCAAAGGGATACCTGTGCAGTTCGCTCGCGCCACAGTTGATTTGGGCTCTGATGCAGCAGCTGCTAGGAAGCGTGCCTCTTCCAGGATGCAGAAGCGACGTGCCCAGGCTCGTAAGAGGCAGCGCAAGGTCATGCGCCTGCGGCGGCTGCCGAAGAGCAAGCTCATCGCCAAGAAGTTGTTCAGCACGGGTGTTCTTCCTGCGTCTTTTTTGGGGCACCAGGTTATGGGGGCGCCTCCTACCTCGATCCTGGCACTTCGGCGCGATGCAGCTGCGAGCGTCGCAGGTGTGAAGAGGGGCAGGTGCTTGACTACTGTGCTGCAGGCCTGTTTTGGCAATGCCGAGCCTGGTATTGAGTTGCAAAAGCAGATGCTCAAGGAGTGGGTTTCCATGTGTTTGTCCCAACCTGGCTTGCACCCCAGGATTCGCCGCACTTGGCCGAAGGTTCTGGATAAGCTTCGTCGTGGTGCAGTTGGGCGCGATACTATTGCGAGGTGGACTGATGTGTGTGGTCCGATCGCAGCCCTCCAAGCCACCTTACTTCAAGCTGGGTGGGATCCTAAGAGCTCGGACGTTTGGTCGAGGCCGCTGTCGGACGGTACCATCGATGACTGGATATTTCCCACTACGGGAGACGACATGTTCGCCACCGCTGTGCCTGCCCACTTTGACGAGATGATTGGAGCATTTATGTATGATCTTGTGAAGCTACAGTGGAAGCAGGCCTCCAAGCACGTTGCTGGTGACGATCTGGAGGAGGGAGCGGACCTGCTCACAGCGCAGATGGAGTTGAATCGGATGGTCAAGAAGTCAATGTACGCCGAGTGGGCCTCCAACCTGGTCGTCGTCGGGGGGGCAGTGGACGCGTGATAGGCAGATCGCCGCAGGTTATGCCTGCCCGCCGCTTTGCCCCCGCTGCAAGGCCTCGCCAAAGACGCTAGTGCATAGAATCTGGTTGTGCCCTGCGAACTGCGGGCATGAAGATTTTGATAAGACCGAGTTTTTAGTTCCCCAAGCTTTAGCCTCTTGGGAAGCCCAGCCAGCCTTGTGGCTCAGAGGGGTCCCCTCGAAGGACCTCACGGTGCCGAGGTTTGTTGAGTCTGAGGAGATCGCCCAGGTGGTCCTTCTTGGGGATGGTAGGATTTGGGATTTCTGCTCCACCGACCCTTCGGCCCCACTTTTCATTTTCGGAGACGGGTCTGGAGGCGAATTCAGCTCGGACCCCCGCAGGAGAAGGTGTGGCTCGGCTGTGGCGGTGATGTGCCAGGATCCCTCGTCGCCCTATCTCTGGGTCCCACAGTGCGGGGTAGGGCAGGCTCTGTCAGGTAGGAAGCAAACCGTTCCGAGAGCGGAGTTGCAGGCATTCTGTCTCGCCTTGGAACATTCGTTTGGCTGCATATGCTATGTTACGGACTGCAAGAGTTTACCTTCTGATTGGCACGCCGGCTGTGCCGCTCGACCTCGGGGCCAAAATAGTGACCTGTGGGCCCGCGTCGCGCTCGCCGTGGTTTCCCGAGGCCCAGGGGACGTTTCGTTGATTTGGACGCCCTCCCATTCGGAGGAGAATTTGCAGTCGGTTACCTCTCTGTATGAATTGTTTTTGAGCCAGGGCAATGCCAGTGCCGACGTGTATGCGGGGGTTGCGGCCCAGTGGGCCTTTGAGTGGTGTGTCGTTCCCCCTCCCCCGCGCACTGACCTTTGGGATACGACGGCGGCACTGGTGAGACGGCGGGCTAGGCGGGCGCTTCTGATGGCTCTCGACGTTGAGCCTTGGGAGGGAGTTCGCCCGCCGCCCCAGCCGAAGGCCCGTAAGCTCACTAATTCGGCCAGATTCTTGCAGCCAGTGCCCATGCTTTCCGTCCGTTTGCGGGCCGCTGGCGTTGTGATCGGTGCCGCGTGGTAGTCCCGAGGAGCCAAATGCCTGCTGTCGCCTCGACCCTGTGCCGCGTCCCTCCTCTGTCGCAGCCGCTGGATTCTGACCTCGGCATTGGGCTGGAGCCTGAGTACGGGGAGGGTTTCGAGGCAATATCGGGTGAGTCTTCTGTTGGCTCGGTGCGTTTGCACCGCAGCCACCGCCTGGCCAGAATGAAAAGTTTCGGTTTGATTTTCTGCCAACGCTGCGGGTTTACAGCGACCACTGACGGCAGGTGGCTCAGAGACGTGTGTGCCCCCCCCACTCGTAAAGGGGGGGAGAATCTGAGACGAATTCGGCGGGGAGTTTTCCCGTCGTACCGCGGCCCACCCGTGGCCATGCGTGAAGCGACGGCCCTTGCCGCCGCTGGGCGAGCCCTCCCGCCCCCGCCGCAGGAAGGAACTGCGGGCCTGGTGGGCGCACGGGCTGGAGGCCGCCCTTTCGAATTTGATGAGTACGAGGTTCGGTCGTCGTCTCGGCCCGCCAGCGTCATGGCGTCGGAGACGGCGCTCGCCGAGGACCGCCGCGAAGCGGCTGCCGCCTTTGCCGCCGCTGCCGCGCTGACGCGTGGTCGTCGAAGCAGCGAGGCGGGGGTGGGCACGTGTGTGTCTGGAGGGGGCTGGTCGGGGGCGAAAGTGGTATGATGCGCCACCCGACCCTGCCCTTTGAGCTGGACGTGCGTCCTGCCGCATCGACTCCATCGACTCCTCCTCCTCCTCCTCCCCCTCCTCCTCCTCCTCCATTCCTTTTTCTTACAATCAACTTCTCCGTGTCGCACCCCGAGGCCAGTTTGTAGGGCGGGCCCGGCCTTTCGCCTGAGACTTCCTTACCACTTACGATTCCGAAGTTTAAAAATTGGCAAGGGTTTCACAGATGGAGGGCGGGTGGTTTTCAAAATGTGGCTCCCGCCTTGGCTCCACGCACATTCGTTCTTAAAAAAATGAAAGAGCTTCACGGATGGAAGATCACCCGTTTGCACAATGTGGCTCTCGCCTTAGCGCCGCGCACATTCGTTCTAAAAATGTGCAAGAGCTTCACGGATTGAAGATCACCAGTTTTCAAAATGTGGTTCTCGCCTTAGCGCCGCATACATTCGCTTTACAAGCTTGCAAGAGTTTCACGGGTTTCCACGATCAACGTACCAGGAATGGCGTTTTGGAAAGATTCCGGACTTTACGGGTGCAACAGTTACGTTGGTTCGCGGTGTTGACATCCCAAGAACGGTGTCCTGGCACGATCCAAGATCTTCAAGACGCAACAGTCAGGTTGATCCGTGGCGTTGGAATCCCGAGAACAATGTGTTGGCATGTTTCGGGGTCTTCAAACGGTTGTCTTCCGATGAAGCAGATCCCTCAATTGAAATAAACCGTTGTAGGGGCCCATGAAGAGGGAACTTGGAGGGAGGGTGTATTCCAACATCGTTGTTGGCTCTTGGGTTTACACTGGTCCACCTTCTCCTTCGCCTCCTCCTCCTCCTCCTCGTCCTCTTCCTCCTCCCCTCCTCCTCCTCCTCCTCCCCCTCCTCCTCCTCCTCTTCCTCCTCCTACTCCCCTTCCTCCTCCCCTCCCCTCCCCTCCCCTCCCCTCTCCTACCTCCTCCTTCCTCACCCCTCTGCAACGGGGGCCAACTCAGACTGCGTCATTGGGCTGACATACGTCCTGAGGATCACCGATCATCAGCTAGCTTCGACTCCCCGTTCAGGCGGAATAGCAATGAGCTGACCAGAATGCGGACAAGCGTCAGTCGGGTGCCTCCCGTCGCACTTGTCGCACGTCACCTTCCCAGCCCAGAGGCACGATTCATCCAAGCAGCACAGAGTTCAACGTGCACGTCGCGCCGAAAACATCGTGAAGCATTACAATATGAAGCGTGCGGCGCAAATGAAGCGTGCGGCACAAATTTGGTGGCAACGCGGTGACCATGATGTGAAATCCATCGGGGCAGAATAGAAGCATAACCAATTGACACGCTTGTGGGCGGTAAAAGATTGAGGGGATGGAAGTTCCTCGTTCACCTGAACGTTCCTTCGTATATATGTTACTTATGTTGTGCATCTTCGGGGGACCGTGTCTGTCCCGTCGCGCCCCTATCCGCGTCGAATGCATGCCGAATCCATGTCGGACTCGTCGAATCAGCGTCGAATCCACGTCGAATCCACGCCGACCCCACGCCAGATCCGCGTCGAGTTCGCATCGAGCCAGCGTAGGGCACAAGAAAGGAAACCAATTTGAAGGACAGACGAGGTCCCCCGATGATACAACGTCAATGTTACCGCTGCTTTCTTCCCAGCTACAATTCGCAGTCTTACTGCTGATGTTAACGTGAACCTAACAGGCCAGTGCCCCGAGCCTAACTCTTGGTGCTGCCAGAATTCACTGCCGGCTACGATTGTGAGGTTTGATCGTTGCAGTGCAAAACTAGGTGTTCGAATATAGCTCTAATAGTAAGCCGATCCCGGCGCCTTCGAGGTTGTATGGCTGTCCTGTCGACGATTGACAATACAATGGTATGCTGACGAGCTCTGCAGCTGCTCTAAGTCTCGAGATCAAGTCCAAAAACAATTCAACCCGCAGCAGAGCGGCTTCGGGTGCAAAACTCAAAGCAGGTCGCAACATCGCGTCGCCAAAATTCCTGCGCCTGGCTGAGAATATGATCCCCCAGGTGCCACACTTTCGGACAGGCGCTTATCCGTGCTGCCAGAGCTCCCCTCTCGGGCCCGACACTTCTCAACCAGGAACAGGGCGCAGCCCTCATGGGGTCCGCCTCGTTGTGTTGCCAGAACTCCACCACTGGGCCTGCTTCTGATCTCATCTGGGGCCATCTGACAACCGTTTCGTGCTCTCCGTGCTCACGCAAGTACACTCCTGAGCCAAATGTCAACAGCTTCGTTTTCTTCGTGCTCCCGAAACTTCATTCCTTGGCCTACGCATGTCCCCACATTCCCTTCCAGTTCTCGGGTGCTCCACCATCAGGTGGAGCCCTCTGGTTGGATAATCGCCTGTCCACGGGCTTTCTGTCTCACTCTGGAGGTACATTGCAACCAGCTGAGCTTAACTGAGGCCTCTGCCAGGAAGCCGCTCGATCGCTACGAATTATTTACATTTTGTAGTCACTGCTTCGCCTCTCGAATGCGACCTCGCATCACAGGATGCTACGTGACTGGCCGATTGAGTGTCCTGGCGGCCCGCTGGCACAAAAACTGTGTCTGTCTGTCTTTGCGTGGCATTGAGACAGACACACAGGCGCACTAACAGAGAAAGGGTCGAAGACGTAGATGTCTCTGGACCTCCCCGTATCCCAAGTATGGGGCTCTTGCTCTGAGGGTGATGCCTCCACCTCCCTCCTTCCCCGTTTCTCCTTTCTCCTCACCGCCTCCCTCATCCCCCTGACCCCCGACGTCGTGATTTTTGTCAAAACGTCGGCCCCCAGAGGTCTGGACCCCTTCCTGGGGACCAGTTCTTCATCCTGAGTTGTTTGCTGACGGCCCCGGGGCCCTGGAAGGCCCCCCAGAGGCCGAAATTTAGGAAAAACCTCCCGTCGTGATTTGTTCATTACCCGAGGGGGTCTAGGTTAGGTCGGGCATGTCCTCCTACAGGCGGATCTTGGAAGAAAACCTAAAGACATACCCAAAAACATGCTCAACGCAATTGGGCCCCAGACCATTCTTACCATTTCCGAGCAGCCCCCCTGTAAGATCGAGAGGGACACGCCCGACCCCCGCCCACACTCCGCCCCTCCCCCATCGCGCCCCGGCCCCCCTCGACGCACCTGGGCCTCCGACGGCCCCGCGGGCGCCGCTGGGCCCTCCGCCTGCGGCGCGCCCGCCGGCCCGCCCGGCGCCCGGCCGGCGCTCGGCAGCGCCCCGGGCAGCGGCCGCGGCAGCGCGCCCTCGCCGGCCGCGCCGGGCCCCTCGGAGGCGCCCTCGGGCACCGCGGCGCCCGGGGGCGCCGCCGGGCCCGCCTCCGCGGCTACCGCGGCGCCGCGCCCCGGCTCGGCCTCTGCGGGTCGGGCGGGGGGGCGTTCCGAGAGAGGGTCAGGAGGAGGAGGAGGAGGAGGAGGAGGAGGAGGAGGAGGATCTCTGATCGGGCGGGTGGTAATGGGGGGAGACCTTCATGGGGGGTGAAGGAAGGGGCCCGAAAGGGGCCCTCTGGGGACCCTTTCGGGGACAGCAGGAGCCCAAAAGGGGCCCCGAAGCCCCGAAGGGCCTTTTGGAGTGCCCTTTTCTTCACCCCCATGGAACTCACCCCTCATTACCACCCGCCCGATCAGGAGGAGGAGGAAGGAGGAGGAGGAAAAGGAGGAGGAGGAGGAGGAGGGAGGAGGATGAGGAACTAGGAGGAGAAGGAGGAGGAGTGAGGAAGAGCAGAACGAGGAGGAGGCAAGGCAAGGCAAGGCAACTCTGGTGTGCTATCACTGTGCCCTCTATCTCACTCTGAAACAGCTGCCACCTGAGTGGCATCGAAGATGCAGCTTCCCACAGCGGTTGGTGCTGCAGGTGGAACTGAACTCACACGGCCTCGACCCGCCCTTTCCTGGGTTGTGCCAGTTAAGGGGGTGACGGAACCGCCAAATTGCTGCAGTTAAGCCCCGCTGGAGGAGGAGGACAAGGAGGAGGAGGAAGACGAGGAAGAGAATGATGATGATGAGGAGGAGGAGGAAAAGGAGAAAGAAGAGGGGTGTGGTAGAGCGCACCTCGTGGCGAGCCAGGCCGAACCGAAACCGAACGTATGGCGAACCAGGCCGAACCGGGCGGCAATCCTCACAGCGACGAACCGAACCGAACCGAACCAAAAAGTCCGACACCGAACCGAACCGAACCAAACCAGACGCACTTCGGAACCTAACCGAACCGAACTGAACCGAAACCTTCCTGGAAGAAGGAATGTCCAGCAGCGAGGCTGATCGATAGGAAGGAGGATCGAGGATCCAGGGGGAGGAAGAGGTTGAGGTCGAAGAAGGAGACGCGGAGAAGATGGAAGCGCGCGGAGAAGGATGATATATGAGCAGGGAGAGAGGGGAGAGAGGGTAAGCAGGCGGAGGCGAATAATGGGAAATCGATAAAGGTCACAAAAGGGGAAAGGAAGAGGAATACGATGAAGAGGAACAGGATAGAGAAGAAAGGGGAAAAAGGGGGATGCAAGGGAAGGGAAAAGAGGCGGTGTTGCGGGAGGCGGAAAAGAGGACGAAAAAGGGGATGATGGGTATGTGAATATGAGGATCGCGGGTAAGAGGGTAACGAGATAGCGGAGGCAGGAACTAGATCGACATAGAGGAAATTTCCAAAGAAGAACATGAAGATGATGGCAAGGAGGAGGAATTCTAGGAAACGGAAGCCGAGGGATAGTAGAAAGAGGGGACAGGGGAACGTGACGAGATAAGGAAGAAAGAAAAGCGGACGGCACTCCTATCCAGTCGTGTCCCTCGCGAAGCAGGGTGCGTATCCACGTCCAGGACGCTCCTACGAAGCCCCAAGAGGCCTCACAGAGGACCGAAAGAGGCCCCCGAGAGGCCCCAAAGAAACCCCCAAAGGCCCCCAAGAGGTCCCAAGGAGGCCCCCAGGAGGCCCCACAACAACACAACTGCACGTGCTCCCCGGACGTGCACCCCGCGAAGCGAAGGAGAATCAGATCGGAGGCCAAGGCCGCCTCAGCTCGCCCTGCTCCGAGCCTCCACCGCCGCCACGGCTGGACGCCGCCACGGCGAAACGCCGCCCTGAAAACAGGTACGCTTGTCACCGAGCGCGTTCCACGACTCGCAAAAGACCCACTCGCAAGCGTCGGACAAACACACACATCACTGCTTCGATGCAATGGATCGTAGAGCCTGCGCGGCGGATTCAGGCCACTTGCGAGCAGCTGCTCTGCGAGTGCGGCCGGACCCAGGACAGAAGAATATCCTTCCAGAACATGAGAAGCTCCGCCAGCCAGACTGAAGAACATTCGAGGGTACCCTCCCCCAGGATGCACAAGAACATCCAGCAAATACGAAGCACATCAGGGCACCCTTCCCGAACCGACCTCGATCTCATATTTCGGTCCGACCGTACAATCGGGCCGCTGAAATTCGCCGGCCCAACGGGCCAGAGGCGTGCTAAGATCTCCGGTAACTACTTAACAATATTTCTAATTCGCACGCGCGCGGGGCGGCCCTTGGGGGGCCCCGGGCGAAAAGTACCCCGGTCGATCCCCGGCTGATCCCCGGGCGATCCCCTGGGGGGAGGCTATTCTTCGCCACCCCTCACGACGATCGTCGCCTCCGAGGGGGGTCTGCAATCGACTACCCCCCTCCCGCCCCAAGGGGCCCCCAAGAGCCCCCCAAGAGGCCCCAGGGGAGCCCAATACGCCGCCAGGGAGCCACAAGACGCCCAAGAGAAGCCCCCAAGACGGCCCCAAGAGGCCTCAAATAGCGCTCCAGGGCCGGCGGAATAAGCGAACCGATTCATAAAGAACGCTACAATAGGAACGAAGCCCCTCTGAGGCCCGAAAACCGGCTTTGTTCACGAGGAGGGCTGGAGGAACAGCCATGGAAGGACCTAGGGATCATCGAACCCCTTCCGAACCCAAACTGCAGTGAAGCACACAACCGACCGGGGAACTACAAAACCGAACCGACCGAGGGAGAACCGACGGAACCGGAACCCATCAGAAACCCGACGCGAACCGAAACCAAACCGAACCAGAGGCGATGGAACCGAACCGGGCCCGAACCGGAAACCGAACGGGGAACCAGTCGTGGAGGTGGACCCTTGGGAACTGACCGATGCGAGCGCCCACTTTTGCGCTAGGTCCATCCCACCCGCTCCCAACTCCCCCCCTGCGCCCCCGAATTCCCTCATCCTGTTTTGCTGCTTGTCCAGGGTCGAACTGGGGACGGTAAAAAGCTCAAATCGCATTTTTGGACGGTTCGAAAATGCGTTTTGGGCCTCCAGGAGGTTTTCGGAGCCTCCAAGGCTGCTCTGGGGATGGCACGGCGTCGGAAAAGCTCAAATCGCATTTGTGGACGGTTCGAAAATGCGTTTTAGGCCTCCTGGTGGTTCTCGGAGCCTCCAGGTCTGCACTGGGGACGGAAGGGCGGCGGAAAAGCTCAAATCGCATGTTTGGACGGATCGAAAATGCACTTTGGGCTTCTGGGGGTCCTCGGGGCCTCCAGGGCCGAACTGGGGACGGCGGCCGGGGCTGGGCCCCCACCATCCTGCGCGCGCCATGTGAGGGCGCGGGCGGCGCCCTTGCCTTCCCAGTTGTCCTTTGGGATGACCCATGCCAGGAATGAATGGTCCGTACTGTCCCAGACCGTAGTCCAAGCGTTTTCTATCCTGGCGCTGAAGAATCGCCCGCTGTCGCCAGAGCCCCCTGGTCCAGGGGGCATGATGCTGCGCCGAGGGCACCATGCGTAACGTCTGGGCCCAGTGGCTCCCCTGGCTCGTCGGGTAGCTGGGCCCAGTGGCTCCCCTGGCCCCAGGGTTCCTCCTGACTCCTGGTTGAACTGAACCTCCAAGCGCCTCCATATGATCATGTAGACGCACACGCGCACACGTCATCTGCAAGAACCGAGAACCGAAATGGAACCGGCTGAAACGGAACCGCCCTCTGAATGGGAACCGCCTCAAACAGCTCCGAAACCGGAACCGTATTGAACCGAACCAATTTCCCCCGAACCAAAACGAACCGAACGGAACGGGGGACACGCTGAAACTGTTCCTTATTTCCGAGTCTTGACCGTAGTGGAACGTGCTTTTCTATCCTGGAGCCCGCGGCTAGAGATACAAAAAACGGAATAAACATAAACTTTCCGCGCTCCGCGCGGAATTCTTTGGATCTGCGCTGGATCCCCGTCCCTGACGCGCGGAGCGCGCCAGGGTCGGCGCCAGAGGCGCCGCCCAGGGGGCCCAGGCGTCGATCCAAGAAATCCGCACAGGCCGCCAAAGGTTGATGTTTAATGCCGTTTCCTTATTTTTCTTTTTCTTATTATTATTATTATTATTCTTCTTCTTCTTCTTCCTCTTCTTCTTCGATTCTTTCCGCGTCTTGACTGGTAGTGGAGCGCGCTTGTCCAGCCTGGACCCCACGAAGAGACTCGGGGGGGGACCGCTCCGGAGCCGCCGCTGCCCCCTCTCCCGCCCTGTTCCCCGTCTTCTCGGGGATCTCCTGGCCAGGGTCAGTCCAGACCAGGGTCAGTCAGGCCCTGCAGGATCCTTCCCCCAAGCCTGGGTCAGTGCGCCCCTGGCCATGCAGGGTCCTGCCAGACCCCGCGCTCTGGCTGACTCCCGCTTGCACTGACCCCCGGTCTCTTGAGCCCCGACCGCCTTCGCTCCCTCGGCCGCCGGCCAGGCCCTGGGGCTCGGCTGCACGAGCCGCTCCCGCACCTCCAGGGCTCGACCCAAGCGGTGTTTGCCGTTTTCGTCATGTCTTCGTTTTCAGAGGCCTCCCAGATGGGGTCCGAGTAGATGGGGTCGAACGATCGCGCCGCATCGCTAATGCATCGCCGCTGAATCGGCGATGCGGGGCGATCCTCCGACCCCATCTACTCGGACCCCATCTGGGAGGCCTAGATAAGCGGTGAGTCCCGTTTTCGTGCTGTTTTCCTTCCCCTCCGTTCCGCCTGTGCTAGAGGAAGCAAAAACGGCATAAATCTAATCTTTTGGCGCCCCACGAGGATGTCTTGGATCTGCGCTGGTCCCCCGTCCCTGGCGAGCGGAGCGCGCCAGGGGCGGCGACGGAGGCGCCGCCGGGGGGGGGCCCAGCGCAGATCCAAGAAACCCGCGCGGAGCGCCAAAATCGAAACGGCATCAGAACGAAAACGGCCCACGAGATCGCTAAAACGTTGAGTAGGGCTGGGGGGTCAGGTCTGCA